ATTTGCAAAAAGGCTCTGTTTGGATTTCTCTTGCTTGTGTGTTCATGCCTTGTTCAATTCTTCCGTCTACGGAACGCTTGCTCATTTGGTTCTCACACAACAGCTTAAACCATGAACAAGGTAAGAAGACACAACTAGTTGCACAAGAGCTGGATGCACAAGGACTAGAAGATACAGCTAGTGGGTGGAGGTCAGCGGCCCACAGTGTGTCCGCCTGCACATCTGCTGTAGCAGAGCTGCGCATCCCCACACATTTCAACTTCCATATGGACGTACACCTGATGGGCGGCCAGTACTCCCAGTTGAGGAGGTGATGCGTGAAAGACCGCGTGCATCTAGCTTTCCTCAGTGGCACTAAGGGGCAAGGAGGTGGGAGAGAAAGCATTCAGATTGGATGTGTGGAGAGTTACCAAGACTCCGTCGGACGGGAGCACTAATGCAGGCGGCAGGTTGCATTGCTCCTGCATCCACTGCCAGGGCCTCATTCAGAGTGAGCATCAATGCACAGATGTGCAGAACCAAAATCTAAATACGTGTGGACTATTATTTATTGATGTGCATGGCCAAGGTGTGCTTTTTGGGGGCCATGTTGAGGAGAGGCTGCCTCTTGGTTCCTTCCTAGGCGAGCAAAATGAAACCAGATTGGGGAATCTGTAGGAAGGCATAAAGCAATCAGTGAGACGCAGCCTCCCAAAACAAGCCTCTGGAATCATGGAATCCTAGAAGAGTGGAGTCGGAAGGGGCCATGAAGGCCATCGGGCCCAACTCCCTCCTGTTGCAGGACACCAGGTCACACCATCCCACTCAGGTGGCTGCCCAGTTTCCCCTTGAATGTCTCCAGTGTGGGAGAGCCCCCCACCTCTCCAGGCAGCTGGTCCCACTGCTGTATTGCTCCGGCAGTGAGGAAGCTCTTCCTGATGCCCAGCCTGAATCTGGGTTGTTGCAACTTGAACTGATTATTCTGTGTCCTACACTCTGGCATCAGCGAGGAGAGACCTTGGCCTTCCTCTCTGTGACAGCCTTTGAGGGACTTATAAAGGGATCTCATGCCCCCCCCGCCCCCCAGCCTTCTCTTCTCAAGGCTGAACATGTCCAGTTCTTGCACTCTCACCTCACACGGCAGTGTTTCCAAACCCTGCATCATTTTTGTGACAAAAATGCATTTGATTTTGATGCGAGACTGGACGTGGGGAGCAAGAGTTCGAAGGGACTCAGGCTGGCAAGCAAGTACAGCTGCACAATTGACATGAGGGGGTGTAGCTGAGTAGCAGAGCCCATGCCCTGCACGCAGGAGGGACCCCAAAGTCACCCTCAGCATCTCCAGGTGGGCACAGAAAGGATTCTGGCTGAATCCCAGGAGAACTGCTGGACCAGTGGTCTGGCTCAGCACAAGGCTTCCTAAGCCAAAGCTCAGCATGGCCACAGGCTCGAACCAGAAGGCAGTGGGGCAGCCTGACCTGGGCCATGTGAGGCCAATGGGCTACAGGTGAGTAAGCATGCCAGGAAGTGGGAAGATGTCACTATAACCTCCAGAACGTAGCAGCTCACTGCAAGGGTTTGCCAGGAAGAGATCCCACAATGCCTGGATTCAGGTAGTCCTCCCATAACTTAAAGCACAACAAATCCAGTACAAGCCCTGGGTGGATGTGTTGATAAATCATTCTTTTTTACTTTGTTAGAAAAACAAATCACAATGCTGAGATCTCTCACAATACAAGATCTTTCCTTCTTTTATTTCATTTATTTAATGGTGTTCCAGGCAACTGGTGTGCCAGGTTGGAGCAGAATGTACACCGGCTAGTATTCTAAAAATGTCTCTTTTCCTCTGAAATGTAAAAGGCCGCTCAAATAATTTATTGGGGAAGATTTGTAATGTAAGAATCACATTTAAAACTCCGCAACAGAGAAATTTTTTGAAAATTAAAATTCAATCCGACTTCTCTCCCCACAATGTTGCCCTTGGCAGCCAAGGGGCCTGGACTTTTGGAATCCTCACTCAGAATAGGAAGAATTCCTATTTCCTAAAATAATGGCCTTGTCGGAGCCAAAGAAAACTGAAAACAATATATTCGTTTGACAACACTAACAGTTTCGATGGAGCTTGCCAACTAAAATGCTAGCTAAATCATTCTGGAAAGGCTTTCGACTGGACCTGAAGGAATCCCAGAAAGTCTTCCTGCTGACACTCATATTTATTTTTGGATACTAGTGGGCCCCAGAGCAGGGGGTGATAGCAGCAGTTCTAGGGAGATACATGCTCCGCCATCCGCAGGGAGAGTCACAGTTGGACTGCTGAACAGAGCATCCAAGAGCCTCTCCGTTCACTGACCGCCCAACAAACATGGGCCATGCCCACAATAAACATTGAAAACTGATGCAACACTGGAACATGGAAAAGTGCTCTACAAAGTCAGAGCCCAGGTCCCTCTAGGCCAATATTACTGACACTGGCTGGCAGCAGCTCTCCCGAATTTTAGATGGAGGCCTTTCCGGTGTGGAAGCCGAAGACTGAACCAGGGACCTCTTGAATGCACAGCATGTGCTCTGCCATAGGGCTGAGTCCCTCCAATGACTCCCTCCTCACGCAGGAATCGTTCTTCTGCAAGGAGGGCCTAGGCATCCGCAACGGGGAATTTTCAGCCCCTTGCCAAGCTTTCAGTACTGACGGAGATAACACTCAGGAGCATTTGAATCTATTAAATAGGTGTGGTGTTGACTCAGAATCCTGAGCCACTTCAAAGGCTCTCACGAGCTGGGTTTCCCCCCTTTGCACGTTCAAAGCCACAGGCCTTCCTTGCAAAATGTTGTCCATTGACCAAAGCACTGTCCAGAAGTGCCATCCCCCGGAAAGAATCTCTGAGCACGTGCGGCGCAGTTCCCGGGATCCATTCTAGTATTGACTTCTAGGAATGCTCCTAATGAGCATGCCTGGGCCCCGTCCTTTCAGGAGGGGGCTTTCGAAAAAGAGTGCATCTCCTCTTGCATGCCAGTCCTCCCACTGGGCAGCTCTCCTCTGCCAACATTGCATCAAGGGGCCGAGGGCCATGCTCGATTTGTCTGTCTCTGAGAAACTCCCCCTTTCCGCAGCTGCACATCTTGGTTATTCCCAGAGGCTGCCTGAGCACCTGGGGAAGCCTGGCCTTCCGGTAAGTGCTTCCGCCCCCCTCATCTCGACATCTGGAAATGGCTCACATTCCAAGGCCTCCCCCTGCTGCCTCCTCCTCCTCCTCCTCCTCCTCGGAGCCCCAGTCAGCACACCTTGGGAAAGCATGCCGAGAGCGGCTGTCTTTCGCACTCCCGACAAAGACCAAACCCAAACTGTGGCCGAACGCTTGGTGCGCTGCGGCCCCTGCTGCCTCGGGGCGAGTTCCCAGGGGAGGGGCCCCAAAACGACTGCGCATTCCTCGGGGTGAGGGACTCAACCCGTGCTCACTGTGGTCTGCGGCACGTCACCTGCCGTGGGCTCCATGGCACGGCACATCCCTGTCTCTCCTCTTCCAGGCTCAGTGGAAGCAACACACGATGCGAAGGAACAAAGGAATTGGACGTACCAGGCCAAGAAGAGGAGCACACTCTCTGGGAAGAGAAGAAAGGCTTTCCCTGGCTCCGGACGCCATCCCTGGTGCCAGATAAGTCTCCTGAGGGTCAGGGAGTGGCCCTCTGTGAGGCGCACGTGTGTAGGAAGGGAATCTGGCAGTAGGGGGAGCTGCAGCACAGTCTGTGGCAGCCTTCCAGCCGGGCCTTTCTGGGAGATGCTTCCACAGGAGGGCCAGCGAGTTGGTGGTTCCTAGGCAACTGGAGATGCGCGCAGGGCTTTGTTCTGTGCACAGAGGAGGGTTTCTGATTGGTGGACACAGTAAGAGCCAATTGTTGCACTGCCACCACATTGTCTCCTTCCAGCTCTATTCTGTGCTGGTGTCGAAACAGAAAACTCACATGGGAGGGAGCCGCCACCAGCTGCCACCAGCATGGCGATCCCATATCACCCATGCATCCCGAATTATCCCTACCAAGCTACAGGAAAAGCTCATTTCAGTGAGGAACACAACCATGCTGACATGGTGATCACGCTCAGAGAACGGTATGCGACCATCCGACGTTTCTTCAATAAGCTATCATGGCTTGCAGAACCATGGCATAGATTACGCTGAAATGAACGCGTACTGCAAGGTACTGCAGCAGCTAAAGCCCTGGATTTAGCAAGACTTTACTTTTTACTTTTTAAAGGCAGATGAAATTTCCAAGAAGCCAAACACTCCACTGTCCACCAGATTCTGCATAAGCATTCCCCACATCTGTGCCTCTGTGGGAAATGAGCGGGCCGTTCAAGAGTGAAGCGCCCTCGACAAGTGGAAGCGTCTAGCAGATGAAATGGTGCGGAACCCCGGTCCACACCGTCTCAGCACAGCAGCTCAGGGGCCCTGCCTGTGGCCCCCACTGGATGTGGGAAGGCCTTGCAGAAGCCACAGGCCTTCGTTATGGACCAGGGATGCCAGCCCTGCTCTTCCCTCAGCAGGCGGCAAACCGGAGCTGGCGGCTTGGGCTGCCCAGGGGAGAGAGAAGCTGCAGCACCCGGCTCACGTCTCACGAGAAGCTCGGTGCAAGCGCAGCCCTCTGCCAGCATCCACGGCGAGGTGTGACCTGAGGTGGAAAACAACACTGGACGATGGGGACTGTAAAGCTGGCACCATGGACTCTTGCGGGAGAGGTCCATGCAGGGGGCGGCTGGGCCGAACACAACCGGTCACGCTCCTGGGCGCTTCCGTTCCTTTCTCCTCTGCATCGCGGCCGCTACACCGCGAGCCAGCCTTTCCCGCCTTGTCTTTCAGGACATGCTGGACTAGAACTACGAGGCACATGGTAACAGCAATGAGATCGCGGCTGTTCACGGGGCGCACGACTCTACCGATCGAGGCAGGAGGTCCCTGGGATGCCGTGGCCGTGCCCGGGAGCCCCGTCGCCCGCCCGTCCCCCCCGCCCCCGTCGCCGCCCTCGCTCACCGATGGGGGGAATCCGGGTCGAAGCAGGTCTTCCAGACGTTGGCCACCTTGGGGTTGCAGCAGTCCCCGTCGTCGAAGTTGTGCAGCATGTTGTTGCACTCCATGTTGCAGACGCCGTCCCGCCGCTCCCAGGCGTAGCAGCGCCCCAGCCGGCGGCAGTCGCCCCCGTCGTGCCCCGTCAGCGGGTGCCGGCACTCCGGGTTGCAGAACTCGTTCCCGATCTTGCTGGGCTCGCAGTTCATCAGCACCACGCGGTGGCGCAGCAGGGAGCTGAACACCTTGTGGACGCTCAGCTGCCACGTGATGTTGTAGCGGCCGAAGGCCTCGCTCAGCGCCCGGTGCTGGTGGGCGATCTGCTCCGGGCTGACGGTCGGGTGCAGGCCCTCGTCGTCGTAGATGTTGACGACGCGATAGCGCACCACCTTCTCGTTCCGCAGCGGCCAGTGGGAGTTGTAGTGGGAGATCAGCTCCACGTTGTCGCAGACCGTCTGCCCGCACAGCGGGGGCGTGAGGGGTGAGAGAAGGGGCGGCTCTGGCACATGGATGGACTCCACCAGCGGATAGCTGCCGTCCTTGATGGCCACCCACTGCTGGTCCAAGTGGCTGAACCGCGCGCTGAACAGCACGGCGGCTTCCCGTTCGTCGGCCCTCCTCAAGAAGGCCCGCTGGAGCTTCTCCTGCGGCAGAGCGGCGCTCCAAAGCGTGAGCAGGGCCAGGTGGCCACGGAAGTTGTGCCCGTCCGAGCTGTCCCCCCCCAGAATCAAGCTGCGGCAGCTGCCCATGAAGGGGCTGTGCAGGGCGCCGAACTGCTGGGAGCTACGAGCGACCCGCTCCCCATTCAGGTACAGCAGCATCTGCCGCCCGTTGTACGTGGCAGCCACGTGCGCCCAGGTGTTGAGCTGGTAGCGGTGGTACGCCGAGATGGTGGAGGATTTCTTGATGCGGTCTGTCCGGAGCGAGAAGACGAAGCGGGCGTTCCTCCGCCCAGGGCTCTCCTGCGAACGGATGCCCAGACTCCAGCCCTTGTCGCTGGCCACGTGGGAGCAATTGTCAAACACACCTGGAGGGGGCGGGGGGGGAGAGAGAGAGGACAGTGCAGAACTGGAATGCTAGTATAAAGACACAGAAACAGCGTGAGTCAGAAGGGGTCTCCCGGGCCATCTAGTCTGACCCCCGGCTCCAGCCGGCTCCGCTCATGACATGACAACACCCTTAGTCTGCTCTGCAGCAGAAGAGGTCAATGCGACATCAGCGCAGTCAGACGCATCGACACCATTACGTTCAGACTGGCTGGACTCTGCTTCCAGGACTTCCTTCAAGGAATTCCAGGAACTGTAGCTTTTCCTCATCACATTACCACAGGATGTGCTCCTAGTGTCCAGCGTGTTGCACAAACAACACAAACCCAAAGACACAGCCTCTAGCGTAGGTTCTCCAAGCTTCAGAAGCAGCTGAAGCCCACTTTCCCTCAATTAAAACTGGAGGTAACATTGCAAGCGTACAGCAAAAATCATTTTTATTCCAAAGCTTGCTTAAATCAAGAAAGACCACCCGCCCCGCAAAGTAGCCCCTCTCTCCTAATGGGCTTAGGCAAGCCCCTCTTTCCAGAGGTGGCAGACGGTGTTCAGAGAGGTAGACAATTCTTCTGCCTTGGGAATAAAAACCTTCCCCACTTGCAATTCTTCTGCCTTGGGAGTGAAAATGTTGCCCCCTTGCACGGAGGGTCCAGCCTCCATCTCAGTGGTGACAGACAGACGGACGGACGGACGGACGGACGGCAAGGTCAAAGCGAAGGCGTGCCAGATGGCCTCTTCAGTGAGCAGGTGATTAGAATCGGGGAGAGGGTTGCATCGACGTCTTTTTTGGGAATTACTGATGTAGACCTGCATGGCATTTTCTACCGTATGGAATCCTCGAAGGAGCAATGCTGTCCCCAGGCTGCCAAGCCGGCGACCTCGGCCTTCCCTGCGTGGGGCGGCCAATCACGCAGCATCAGGAATTGCTCAGAACCGGGGCTGCGCTGCTCTGCCCTGCCGTGTAGCCGGCCTTGCTCCCTACCGGTGGAGCTATCCAGAGACTTGGTGCTGACGGAGCAAGGAAGCCCCCAGAGAAGTCGCTGAGCAGGCAGCTCAGTCTGGCTACTCCTGGTCCAGTCCCATCTAGACTTCTTTCAAACATGCAGAAGCCCTCCTTGCTGGCTCTGAGAGGGCCGTCCTCTGGCCAGAGGTCCTGGATCTGAACTGGAAAACCTGTGGCTGAGGCTGGATGGTGAGTTAGTAAACCAGCCAGGTGTGCTGCACATTCGCAGGCCCCAGACTGGCCACAACTGGTGACCAGTATGGACTGGCCAAGCCTGGGATAAGCTGAAGACCCCAAGAAGACTCTTTTGACAGCGGAACAGAACTTTCTGCCCAGGGACCAAAACAGGACCAAAGCAGTCTTGACACTTACAGAGATCTGACAAAGCTCTCATCTGCTAAGTTTTGACTCCAAATTAGTACGGGGGCATTGTAACTGTATGTTCAACTGCATTTTTTCAAGATTTGGGGAAAGATTTGCATGACACCTGTAAGCCATCCAGAATCCTATTAGGGCAGGTTACAAATCTGGAATGCATATAGAAATAAAACTCCAGAAGCAATATTGCAAAATATGAGTGGCAGATTTTGGGGGGAGTGGGGGTGGGGGGGAATGCTTTGTTGCTCCAGAATATACTCAGTCCGACCAGCAAGCAACCAGATGAAGTACTTGTTCTGCTGAAGCAGCAAGAAATAAAGATGTTGAAAAGAGATCTTGATGGGACTGAACCGGGGTAGCCAGGCTGAATTGCCTACTATGCCACTCCTCCTGCGGGGTGGGTATTTCAAGTTTATGATCTAGCATATTTTTTCAAGATTTTGGGAATTATTTTCATGGCACTTCAGTCATCCAGATCTTACTACAGCAGTTCCACCCTTGGGTAGGAATCTTTCCTGTCAGACTATCCAGAATTCAGTGATAGGAGAAAGCCAGCAAGCATCCATAAACTTTGCCCCACCTTGGTAGCCAAGCAAACATTTCCAGTGGCTGCGACCCACTCTCACCTGCGAGGAGCCTCGTCTCGTCTGCGACTCTGCACTGCGCCTCCAAACTCAGCGTGACATCGAGAGAATCTGCTCTCGCCTTCAGCTCCAATTGCTCGAGGCAACTTGGAAGCTTCGTGTGAAAACGCTCCAGCCCCGCTCGCTCGCTCACTCACTCGAGCTGGCAGCCGGCGAGGGACTGGGAAAGGTCAACCTCACACCGTTCTGCTTCCAAAGCCCTCTGAGTCGCTCACATGGAAAGCCCAGCTGCAGGACACTCCCACACCCTCGCTCCCACTCTGCGTTTGGGAAAAAAGGTCAAAGCTCGTCCTCGCCGTGACGATGCGGCTGGCCTGGTCTGATCCTCTGCACTCCAGGAAAGCCATGCCGCGGGTTCCACACCCACTGGGGAGGCAGTGAGTGGACCTGTGGACCTCCGAAAGCACCTCATTCTTTGGAGCTTGAAGCAGTGTGTGGATTGTGAGGCTCTGGGCGCAAAGATGCACTATTTTTACTTCCAAAGCTCCAGGGATATGGAGGGGGGTGTATTAAATCTCACTCCACCCCCATGAATGGACTTACTGTTATTTACAGGAATAAGGAGAGTGCTTTTAACTGTACTAACTTGATTTTTTTTTTTTTTCTGGAGGATGCTGAGCTTTTTCTAGTCCTGCTTACTTTTCCCAAATCAGCATTTCTGCTGCAGCAGGTGCATAAGACGGGCATGAGAAACCTTCTACTAGATTTCTACTACTAGAAACCTAGTAGAAGAACTGAATGCTCTTGAGAGCACAAGATGTCTGTTTATTCATGCTCCTCTTTGGCAGAGCTTCTAAGCTCAGAGTTCCCTGGAGAAGCATGAGTACCAGAAGCTTGCTTCCACAAAATGAGAGGTGCTTGGTTTCTCAGCAACCTACAGCAGCAGCCCTTTTCCTGGAAGGTTTCATCCATTGACAACTGTGCCAGCATGATTCCAAGGGCGTCCTCTTCCATAACTGCTCTTCATGTGGTCCAGACTCACTAAATTCTGCTCCCGGCCCAAAAAACCTCTCCAGGGGATGGTGTGACTCGTGTCAAATGTTAGAACCCGCCTCTGATGCCGCTTGCTGGACGCTCCTCAACATTAAACCTCACGCAACATCTCGGCACTGTTGCCAAGGAGCCCTCACATCTGGAGCCTCATCTGGTGTTCTCCAATGCGCCCTGCCCTCGACTCTGCTCGGCACCTTCGCCTTTGCCCACCGCTGTGCCCAGCCTCCCCTGGCAGGAGGCGCAGGGGCTACTGCTCCCAGAAGGCACCTCTGCAGGGCCCCTGCATCAGAAGCCTCGCCAGCCAGTGCCTGAAACAGGGATCAGAGAGCTGCGCTCCAGCACCCGTCCTAACGAGCAAGCGGCTCCCACGGCAGGAAGCCGCCCGAGCAGCCATCCCCAGGAAAAGGGCAGAGAATGCGCAGGCAGTGGGAGCGCGCCCCACAGAAGGAAGCAGAAGAGGCCTCCAAGGGGGGACCCCAGGGATGAGCCCAGCCCTTTCCGGGGCAGTGCCTGTGCCTTCCCACTTTGCAAGGGAAGCATGCAGGGGAAACAGAGAAATGGAGCGAGTCAGAAGGGGCCTCCCGGGCCATCCAGTCTGATCCCTGGCTCCAGCCGGCTCTGCTCACGACACGCCCGCCATGTGCACTTTCAGCCTATCTTTGAACACCTTCACCAATGGGGCCTCAACCTCCTCCCGCGGAAGCCCATTCCACACTCTCAGGGTCCTAACTGTCAGGAAGTGCTTCCTGGCATCCAAATGGAGCCTTGGTTCCTGGAGCTTGGCTCTGTTGGAGTGCGTCCTGCCTTCCTCTGCAGGGGAGAACAGGTCTCTACCCATCTCCATGTGACATCCCCTCACATACCTGTATGTGGCCAACAGATCCCCTCTGAGTCTCCTCTTCTCCAGGCTGAAGAGACCCAGTTCCCTCAGTCTCGCCTCATACGGCATCCCCTGCAAACCGGCCACCAACCTTGTGGCACTACAGGAAGAGTCAGTCTGCCACATCAAGGCACCCAGCAAACCCCCCAGGCAGGCCAGAAGCGGGGGGGGGGGATTTGGAGGGTCAGCTCTCCATCTAGGAAAACTAGCAGCTGTCCAAGACTCCAAAATCAAGGAAGGATGCAGAGCCCTGCTTTTGTACACTGCCAGCAAAAATTATCGGAGCACGCACCAGCGATGGGGTGAAGCTGCAGCAGCAGGTGCAGAAAAACCAGAACTGGGGAAAACACCACTTCTCCATCTCTTCTCCATCTCTACAGCCTTTTCTTCGGGACCCAAGTGCCTCCTTTCCTCCTACTTGCTCACGTTCCCTGCACCGACCCCATCCTCCCTCACTCTCTTTTGGCGCAATCCCCCTTCCTCCCTGCTCCCAGTCCCACTTCACATCTATTCACACGCAACGTCCTCCATTCACACATGCGCCTTCCATGCAGCTTCCTGTCTCGGCTGAGCAGGGGAGATGTGAAGGCAAAGGGCGAGCGGCCAGGGCAGGAACAGAGCATCGTGCCCCTTGCCAGACCCCCTGTGCCTCTGCCTCAGCAGACAGCCTGGGAGAAGCGCGGGTGGGCGGGCGGGGGGCCAGCAGAGGGACGGGAGTGGTCTCTTCGCCCCTCAGCAGCTCGCTTGGCTTCACGCGGGCCAAGGAAGGAGCCATGTTTCTTCCATCAGCAGGTCGGTGGGAGAGGGGCTGTAGGGGAAAGGTTGTGGGCCAAGTTCCCCCTCCAAATCCCTGCAGGAGGCCTTGCATGGGGCAGCAAAGATGGCCACCTCCCCTGTGGGGGCCCCTGCTCTCTGGAGCTCTTCCAGGGCTCAGCTGGCCCCCACGCACGCTGCCACTGCAAAGCCCAGACCTTCCCTTTAAAAGACGGCAGACCTTCCCTTTAAAAGACGGCTGAGCTTACAAGTGCCCGTGTAGCAAAGCTCTCCTCTGTGTTGCATGTATAAGCATAAAGTGACTGTGAAAGT